GAAACCCTAGCCCCGAGGCTCCTATAAATAGATGACTTCATTCATCATTCAAGGTACATCTAAACCTACTCCTTATACCCGAGAACAATATCCGAAGCTCTTTCTCCCTCTCCACTCTCCATATTTTCTTCACACGGCTCCGGCCACCACACACGGCTCCGGCCGCCCGGTTCACACCCTACATAAACACTACTCCGTACCCTTTGCTTAGCTATTGTTTTCTACAAACAGTCGAACTAACTTAGGCATCGGAGGGCCTTTGGCCAACACCCCCCGGGTGTGGTCTATTTACTCCAATCTGTTTTACAGGAATCGAGGAAGAGAGAGAAGGAAGATCGAAGGTTGAAGGATCTAGAAGCGAATATTCTCCCGTGAGATTATTTGCACAAACAATGGATGCATCAGGTAAACCCTGATTTTCTCTATATGGATTTAAGCCTATTTTGACATGTTTTTTAAAATGCACTATCTTGTTTGAGTTGAGTTTCTCTTTGTTAACTTTCTTTCTTTTTTTTTCCCTTTAATGGCATTGACAGCAAATCAGATTTCATCATATACAAGCTTAAGGAGATGGGAAGGGTTGCAGAGAGTGACATCCTGCAAATCTGCAAGAAATTTGATACCTTGGAACATAGTAATAAGTTTAGTGAATTGCATTCTCTGTTCTATTACTTGTGTTTTGGGGTGTCTGATAAAATTCACTCAATCCCCAAATGATCTCATGACAGGATGCTTGTTGATTAAGCAATCAAGTATCTGTTTATTGCACTGCACTATGCACACATAAGTTCTGTAAAGTTCTGTTTGATGACATGTCTTCTTCATTCCATGGGTGAAGAGCTACAGCCAGATTATTATCTGCATTTCTGTGACAGCATGTATCACTCCATGGGATCACCACCAGATTGCACCAAATTGAATGTGGTGGCTACAAGAAAACACTGAATAGTACTATAATTCCCACTTGGGGGGAAGTTTTGTCTGGCCATGCCTAAATCCCTTGTTTGTACACAAAAGAATAAGAGTATGTTTGTCCCTTGCTGTTTGTAAGATATTGCTTTGGGCCTGCAGCATATGGTGTTCTATAATATTTATAATTTTAAAAAAAAATCTACATGAACCAAATAAATGAGTGACAATAATTTTTCTTATTAAATAATAACCATTTTAAAAAAAACTCAAGAGACATGTAATAAATAGAAAACTGGATAACAAATAAAAACAGAAAGCAGTGACTTTCAGAGGATAATTGAAATAGAACAAGTATAAACACAATATCAATAAATAAAATAATTTAAGTTGTAAATGGGGAAAATATTTTAATCATATTATTTTATTTAATATACTTAACTGTCAATAAGCACAAAAGATATAAAACTTTGTTTTGAATTTAGGTTTCAGACCCAAAAGTTAGGTTAGTCAAGTCCTCATCATCACATACTTGGACAAATCGAAGTCAGCCAAAATAGAAGTTTGAATATTTATTTTTTCCCATTATATTGGCAAGATCATGAGGTTAACCTTTTTTATTAGCACACGTCACTCTTTATGTACTTTTCAACAAATAGCATGCTACGCTCCTTGATATAATTATATCATGTTAACACCAACTAACGAGTTTTAATTAAGTTTTTCATCATTATAATAATAATATTCACCAGTGATCTCATATTCGAACTCTCATAGCATCTTAGTGTGTGTGTGGAAAAACACCCTTAACCCTTCCTAACTTCGAAAAGGACAAAAAGCTACGTCATTTTATGGGTTAAGAAACAACTAAGGAAGTTTATAATTCAAGTGATCAAAAAACATTCCTCAATGGACTCGAGATTCTGTATTCGATTTGCCCCTTTCCTAATAGCGCTTGTATTAAGAAAATTACATAAATAAATATTTATTAGTTTTTTTTTATTAAAAAAAAAAGAAAAAAAAAAGAAAAAAGAAAAAAGGGAAGGTGGAGAAATTAGCCCAGTGCAAGTAATCTCCCAAGTCACAAGTCAGATCACAACTTACAACTACCATCACATACATTAGCAGCAATTATGAAAAAGGGGTGCAATTTAGATTAACAACCACTCAACTCTCTTCTCTTCCCGGGATTTGACTTGTAGTTGGAGTTCGTTTTTTTTTTTTCCGTCGCTTTTTTATCCCGTCTTTCTTAAAACAGACGACATATCTCAATAATACCAAGACTTTGAATCTTTAGTTTCGTGCAATATATACAGAGCCAATCACCATGGACGAATCTTTTCTTCCCAAGATTGAAACAAGACTTGGCGTTGGCGGCGAAGATCAGCAAGAGCCTAGCAGAGGCAGAACACCAAGAAGCTCCTTCCCCTCCTCAGCTTACCTTGATGTTGGTCCATCCAGGCGTCTCTCAACTGCTCAGCTCCTCACGGGCGGTGATGTTGTTGTTCCCATTATCACAACACCAAACTCTTCTTCTTATGCCAATCTCATTGTCAACTTGAACAAGAACAAGAAGAGGAAGCTCCAACACCGGTCACACTCGGCGCCATCGGTGCTTACTGACGCCCGGATGCCAATTCGAGACTCTGTGGATCCTAGGCCGTCCCCTAAATCAACCCCTTTAATTGTCCGCCAAGCCTTCATCGGTATCATTGTGTATGTCATAATTGGCATTGTCATATTCTGTACAACCGGTTCAAGTTTCAAGGGCCAAGAAACCTACAAGCCTGTGGACGCTCTGTACTTCATTGTGGTCACGCTCTGCACCATTGGATATGGCGACATTGTTCCGGAAACCACGCTTACCAAGCTCTTCACCTGTTTCTTCATCTTGGTCGGTTTCGGGTTCATCGATATCCTTCTCAACGGGTTGGTGGCGTACATCTGTGACAGGCAAGAAGCAGTCTTGTTGAGCACCATGGATGAGACTAAGTTCAACAACATGATTCAGACGTATATGATCGATAGAGAGAAAGGAAGAATGAGAATAAGAATCAAGGTGGGGTTGGCATTGTCAGTTGTTATTGGTTGTATAGCTATAGGGACAATTACAGTGCATTTTTTGGAGGACATGAGCTGGATTAATAGCTTCTACCTCTCTGTTACATCAGTCACAACTGTGGGTTATGGGGATTTTGCTTTCAAGACAGTTGGAGGAAGGTGTTTTGCAATTGTGTGGTTATTGGTAAGCACATTGGCTGTTGCCAGGGCTTTTCTGTACTTGACTGAGCTTAGAATCGACAAGAGGAATCGCCGAATCGCGAAATGGGTTCTTCAGAAGGAAGTTACGATGAGGGATTTATTAGCAGCAGACCTTAATAATGATGGATGCATCAGGTAAACCCTAACGTTCTCTACATGGATTTAAGCCTATTTTTGAGTTTTCCCTTTAGTAGCTTTCTATTTATGTTTTGCTTATTATGTATTTATGTTAATTTTCTTGTTTGTTTTTTTTTTTCTCTTTAATGACAGCAAATCAGAGTTTGTCATATACAAGCTTAAGGAGATGGGAAGGGTTACGGAGAATGACATCCTGCAAATCTGCAAGCAATTTGATTCTTTGGAACATAGTAATGATGACAAAATTACTCTTGTTGACCTAATGGAAGGTAACAGGTGACTTAATTCCAGTATGATTTCCTCAATGGAAAGACTGAAGCATGGTACAGAACTTGCTCCAGCAATTAATGGGAGCAAACTGGGAGGGTGCTGAATTTTTCAATATACAGGTACATAGAAGTAGAACTAGGCACATGAATTTGGTGGTTTCACTCCGGAGAAGAAAAACCCAATTCAATTCTTTTGTAAATACTTCCAAATTGCAAATAAAATGAGTACTCAAAGATCTCATTTCATTGTTACTTGCTCGTTTTGTTTACTGAAGTCATCTCGCAAGTTATATTAATCCCTACCATTTTAATGAAAGTTCACTTACATTCTCTGTTCTAGAAAATCTGTGAGTTCATCAAAAGAACATGCATTGCTGCGCATAATTCAGGTATGGAACATATACAGCCTACTCAACTACATTATCTAATGCAAACAAAACATTTTACAACAGAAGCAAGGGCATGAAAGGCAGCTGAAATGAATGACATTTGAAATTGGATAGGCATCAATCAAATACTATGGGCAAAGCAACTAATATTACTTGTGTTTGTTGATTAAGGCGAAGCTCCGTAAAAACCCCGCCTTTTTTGAAATATCATGAACAGTTCCTGTAGGTTGAGCACCTTTTTCAAGGAAATATAGATGATGTCTGCTAAAATTCATTCAATCCCCAAATCTTGCTGAAGCAATGAAGTAGCTGTTTATTGCTTTGCAATCCTTTGACAAACTGTACCGTTCTATGCACACATAAGTTCACAACACGAGGTGGAGCTTTCCTTAGAGATTTATTAATGCTTGGCCTACCTGACAGAATGGACAAAGAGAGTATCATCAGTCAACTGTAGTTTTTATTAATTTCTCCATTACACACTGTAAAGTTTTGTTTTACAGTTTCTTTATCGCGCAATAGAACTGTCTGATTTAGGCATGGATGAAAATATGTGATTCACCTAGGGCATAAATCCCTATATATACACGTAAAAAAAAAACAGGCACGAAAAAAGGAGGGGTGATATGACATTTATTGATTACAATATGATAGTCATATTATAAAGATTGTCGTAATCAACTAGGTTGTCCACACCAAAGCAAAGATGCATTTATAGATTGAAGAGATGCATATGTCTCTGCCTCTATGTATACTTGACTGGCAGCCAAAACTCTAAATATAGCCTCTCTCCCTTTATCTTCTTGGGATCTTTGCTATCAAGTGTCCAGGGAAGCAAATAAAGGACAACATGTTATCACCAAAAAGCAAAACCATTTACATAAAACTGTTTCCTGATTATTCCATTAATTATCAAGGCCTAGAACACCAACCCCAGTCCCTCAGCCTAATATTGATGCATACCAAGAGGCAGATGATATATAGACACAGTCATTGCTAGTTTTCATGCTATAAACTTCCAGCAGACCTGAGAAGTAAGATTTGACAACATCAGGGACTGAAGAGACATCTTGTCATCTTAATTTTTCACGTGTAATTTACATGATCTCCAACTTCTAGTTTAAAAAACTTCCGTGCTAAAAACAGAGTTGCAATCCTTACTAGATTCGAGACAATAAAACAATTGAAGCTTTATCTGATCTCCACATTTGCCATCTTGATACTTGAAATTCTGTGACCGCAAAGATCATGAATGAGAAACGGAGTTAGAAATGAACATACAGATCCAGCAAAAAATAAAAACTGAAAGGCATACAGGAAATGTTACAGGAGTAACAATTATGAGTGTTAAGTCTTGTAAAGGGGGCCATTGACAAACTATACCAATTTTTGTGTTCACTAATATGCATACCTCTGTCTAACGCCAGCGATACTCTCAAGAAGTTCCATTATTTGTTGCACCTTAAAATTTTTTGGTTTCTCCTGGCTGCCCACTACCAAGGTTGAGATTCTTAAAATAGTGACAAGTTCTGCTTCAATTTTGTTAAGTTGATGATCCAGATGTTCCAGGAATTTCTCAAAAGAGGTTATTCCCTTCAAGCTAGTAATTATTTCATCTTCATTCCAAGCTCCCTTATTTAAAGGCTCTTGAAGATCCTCCCCTTCTGGCTCAACAGGTATGCTTGCTTGGCTCTCTGCAAGAAGCGGCTTTTCTTCATCATTACTGAGCTTCAGATCATTAGAGGCAAATTCTTTGCCCTCCTCCAAATCTTCTGCAACATCTGGTGTTGGGGATACAATTCGAACTGGACTGAAAGCATCATCTCTGACAACTTCTAGATCCAAAGTAACATTCCCAATTAGCTGCCTTTCTTTTAGAGAAATCGCCTGAAACCAAATTAGTCTTCTTCTGATCATATGATAGGCTGAAAGGTAAAGTTCTTGAATAAGATATATTAAAAGATCATACATTGGAATAAAAATATTAAGAAAAAAAATTGAAGGAAAAAGTTTATCTTACTAGTGGTTAGGATTTTTGTTATCAGTTATGACATTTTGGGGAAGAATGATTTGAATTTGGGGCCTCCTGTCTAAGAAAGAGTGGCTACTAACTGGGCTATACCCTGACCTCCTTCCTAAAGGCTCAACTGAGTTAAGACATGACATTTTGGGGAAGAATGATATGAATTCAGGACCTCCTGTCTAAAAAAGAGGTGTGGCTACCAACTGGGCTATACCCTGACCTCCTTCCTAAACGCTCAACTGAGGTAAGACCTTACATTATTTTCCTTCAAGCAGTAATGAACAAGAATCATCCACCCTAAGAACAGAGATGTTCCCCTATATACCTTTAAAAAAAAAAAATCACATATAGGTATATGAGTGCCTTCCAAAGTACCAGGGCAGTGATGATTAATCATATCTGGGAATGCTGAAAAAGGGGAAGCTTCAAACATCATAAGCCAATCCACCCGATGGTTCATTTTTGTCAACAGAAACATATTGGATTAGTGGACTTTCATCTTAAACTACTTTATTAAAACCAACGATTTTATCCAGTAAATTCCTCAGCTAAAACCAAGCAAATTTCTTTCATAATTAGTACCATTTTATTTTACCTCATTAAGCTTTGAGGAAAGCTCATCAAGCAATTCAATGCGTTTTTTGGACTTCTCCAATGCTTCTATGACCTTTTTCTTCTGAAAGAGTAGTTCCCTTGCATCATCCTCCTTCCCAGTTTGGACATTAATTGCTGCTTGCCTTTTAAGATTCTCAGCTGTCTCTGACAGTCGAAGAAGCCTCAATCTTGCATTGTTTGCTAAACCCACAACCATGAATAACTATCATAAGGTGCAGCAATTAGCCAACAGGGAATTCAACCTTACACTAAAAGCACATTGGAACAGAAAAAGATTAATAAATAGAGGACCAAGAAAGAAAATTGTAACTCAGCAGAAACACTAGGCCAACAATACACTATCCTATCATCAACAATGAACAAACAACCCATCGAATATTGGATAGAAAGCAACTTCATAACCTAATCAAAAGCATAAAGCTATAAACATAACCAAATTTCTGCACTAAGCAGAAAATCTAATCATATTATTGATTCACAAGAGGGTTCATACAAATTCTCTATAAAAAATAACTTCCAATAACAGAATACAAGGATAAAAATGTGGTTTTTCATTCATAAAGGCAAAAGGGTATGCCAAATACTATGGAAGACACCAAAACAGGTGTATTGTGTAGTTATATTTATATACCTTTGCCTCTGGCGCTCTCAGCCTCAGAATGGAGCTGAACGAGTTGAACACGTAGCTGCTCGGTGTCGACGTTGGAAGCCAAGCACATGGGTCTCCTCCATAAAGTTCTACGAGGGACAGCCATGGCTGTGCCACCACCAATCTTCAACAACATCATTCTCTCTCTCTCTCTCTCTCACTCACTCTCTCTCACTCTCTGAGAGGAACTGGAAGTCAGGATGAAAGGAGGTCCGCCCATGGTGAGGCCCATAACTTATGGTCTTGAAGGGTGAAGCCCATTTTTAGATGAAATTTTATGTTTCGAAATGGTAGTGATTTGTGAAGGCCTTTATTTCTTTTGAAATGGGCTTCAAATTGTATTTGCTTGTGTCCAATGCTTCGCTCGTGTCATAATTTTTTTTCTTCTTTTGTAGCGGCTCGGCTCGTGTGCAACATTGTTTGTTTGTAGAAAGAGGTCTGTAGTTTAAGTGATTAAAAATATTATTTCTACAATTGAGGTCATGTGTTCCAATTCATTTGAATGAATATAACTAATGGCATGAATTGAAGTAAATTGGATTTCGTATACATGGATTATAGTTCTTCCAATCTATCCTCGGCGTGGTTTATAAAAAAATATGTTTTATTTATCAATAATATTATTTGTATCACATTTATTGACCATATTGCTAACCACATCTCTAATAGTGGTGAGCCCGATTAGTGTATGTGAGACTCACATGTATTAGAGAGGTGATTAACAATGTGGTGAGTAAAAGTGGTCCAAATAGGAACATTACCTTTCCAAATAGCAACACTACCTTTCTGATCAAGCACAACTCAGGCATATAGCAAATTGAAGTAAATTGGAGCCTCTAAATGTGGAAACCCTCCTTTTCTATCTTATTTTCTAATTATGTCACATCCCTTTCGTTTCAGAGTTTTGAGTGTTTCTTCTGCTCATGGATTTGGTAGGCTGAGTCCATCATAATTTGGGCCCACGTAAAAAGGTCGTCCAAGGGCACTTGAGTGTTGAGATAGAGAGAGAGAGAGCCCATGATTTGATTTGACCTAAAACTAATAATAATATGAATGTCATCTCAGTTTTTGCTTGCTTTGCTCCCATCCCATATATACCAACCAAGGCAATTATAAATCATGAATGTCATGAGTCAGTCAGTCAGTCAGTCATGAAAAGCCCCCGTCAACAACGCCCACCCACGCTCAATTCAACACAACAAAGTGATTTTGACAACCTCCTAATTCATTCATTCATATTTCACTGTGAAAAAAATGAAAAGAAAGAGAAGAGAGAATATGAATTTCAATTTGTGGTGCTTTTCTAAGGTTAAAAATAATATATATTCATGTCAGCTGTGGCGACGCATGCATGTGGTATGGTTGCTATATAGCACGCATGAGCTAAGAACCTAAGACTGCAGTCTATATCACATGCCAAATTTTTCATTTTCTTTCTTTAATTGTGCCTCAGTTTTCCTCTTTATCAATTTATTATGAGTTGATGTTGAAGTTGAACCTCCGTTATTATGAAGAGGAGCTATTTCGTTGTTACAAAATAGAGAAAAAGCTGGCACGCCTGCAATTATATTTTCTGAAATGAACATGGGAATTTAAGATCCCCTTCAAAGTGTCAATCAATTTGTGTACTGCGTATTCATGATGATCTATTACTCTTACCTATAAGGAACGTGATTTATTGCTAGACTGATGCTTATGTTGATAGATTCAATTACAGTTAACCTGATTAGTAAATTCTTTGTCTAGCAACATAAGCATCAGTATGATAACATAACTTTGACCAAAGTGTTAGTTGGATTGCCTCAGATCTTTGGTGTACTTTCAAGTGGTTTTATATGGGCTCAAACCCTTGTGGTACCTATGTGTGCGAGTCCCCCTCATCCTCCTTCCTAACTTTGGCAACAACCAAAAAACATAACTTTGACTAGAGAATGTTACTCATTTAATATAGACCACATCTTTCATAGAAAGTTTGTTGTCGCATGGAACAAGGATATAAGGCTTTTGAAGAAAGA